GCAGGAGCTGTGACTAAACTGACAAACACTCAACTCTATGTTAAGTATAAGGCAGGTATGGCTGGGAAAGCCATTGCCTCAAATACCCACGGAGCATGTCACCCTTCAGTGGCTGCTGGCACTTAGACTCCCATGTTTTCTGGAACGTTCTTGCTATCAGGTAACCAGAGAAGATGTCGCCACAGGAAACAGGCCCTGCCCCCTCCCTGCTGGCCCCTGCTGGTGTGTGTTTCAAGCCTGCAATGGGACTCAAGGCCTTGTAGCCAGGGAGGGACACCTAAGCCCCCCTGGAGGGCGTGGCCTGAGGGGTGTCCTGGACTGAGGGGTGGGGCATCCAGCCGCAAAGGCAGTGGTGCTGACTGGATCTAACCTGGTCCCACAGGCTGGTAAAACAGCCCCATTATGCATAATGACACATGTGGGACGAGCTCACTGACATCTGCAGTAAATGTATATGGAGGCTTTATCTCCCATTTATCAAATTATCCACGGCTACAGTTACAGCTGCATGGACGCAGAGGCACGTATACTGGGGCAGCGTGATGGATGGTACGGGGGGGGGGGGTGCTGCAGGGCAGCCTGTGTGCCTGCAGGAAGGGAGAGGATGGCCGAGGCTGGGCCCCTCCCCCACCAGCTGCTCTTTCAGGGTGGCCTTTGGCAGTGGTATGTTCAAGACCATCTGTTTCGAGATCAAGACAAGATCAAGATTCATCTAACCCAAGACCAAATCAAGACCAAGACCCATCCCAACCAAGACAAGATCAAGACTTTTAATTCACAATCAGAATTCAGATGTTTTTAGGTATATTCCACCCATATTGGGGCTATATTTTCATTTATGTAATTCCAAATGACACTATTATTGAAAATGTTTAATGTTCACATACTCTAAACAATAATGCAGATATAAAAAACACACAATATAATGAAATCATATTGTTTTGTTTTCTGGGTGGTAGGCAGTGTTAAATAGTTCATATTAAGTAATTGATGGTTTAGGTTACAGCAAGTTATGTGGAGCTATTTTATGAATGTACCTTATTGAATGAATTTAGGTCTATGTCATAACATTACTGAGCAGTAAAATATCATGGGTGTGAAGCATGTTACCTTTTTATATTATGGATATATTATGGCAACCTTCCCAGCGTCTTTCATGTTCATTTTTAAAGGGCCCGTTTGCTTAATAACTCTTCCCAGCAGCCCCTGTGCCCTCTGAAGCTGTCCAATAGTGTTATACCGCCAAGCCAGCTGGAAGATGTAGTACATTTTAAGTAGCGCTGCTACAAGAGGACAGCGCAGGAAAATTTATATCGGCATTGTGAGGGGAAAGAAGTATATTTGCATATCAATTCAGATAATATGTTTTGTGGAATTTCAAGACTTATGGCCCAGACCAAGGCAAGATCAAAACAAAATGGGCTCAAGACCGAGACGAGGCTGAGGTTAGGTTCAATTCAATTCAAATTATTTTTGTATAGCGCCTTTCACAACAGTGCTTTGCATGGATGTGTTACATAAAACATCAGGTTGAGCCAAGACTGGATCTCGAGAAGTACGACTTTGGCCTTTGGACCAGCCCTCTTAGCTCAGGGGCTTCTCTCCTGACCTGTCGTTACCCTCATAAGGGACATCTCAGGGCTTGGAGGCCCTCTGCTTAGGGATGGCATGTGGCTCAGTGAGTTAATCAACCTTGTTACTTTGTTTAGGCCTGTAATTACTCTGTTACACACATCTTGGGTCACTCTCTTCTCCCAAAATAACTCTTGGACACGCTGCTGATTTGTACCTGGCTTGGCCTCTTTGCAGATGAAATCTTTCATCATGTGTCAAACAAGCTCAATGGGCTTCAAATCTGTTTAATTTTCATATACCACACTGTCCCTCATTGCTTGACAATTTCAGTCTTATTACTTTGTTTAGGCCTGTAATTATTGTATTGCACACATCTTGCGTCCGCCTCATCTCCAAAGGGGGAAGTAAAATAAAATTCTAATTTCATCAATAAACTGACTAAAAACACATTTTGCTAGTTTTAGGCCATCTTTGCCTCACAACAGAAACAATTTCTTAAATTTCACAGGCCATTTATTGCAGTGTAGTCAGTTTATTAATGAAATTGGAATTTTGTCTAAATATAAGAAAATTATACTTGCTTAGATTTTCATTTTTTGCAGTGGAGTTACAATATCTGATTTCAGGTATCTCACCTGATTTCAGGTAAGTCACTTCAGCTTTCATAATCACTGCTCTCTCTGGTGGATGGATAAATCATTGCAAGTACTTTACGCACAGAGAGTTAAGGGGCGGATCATGCCGGCCCCCATGTTCATTACATCATCGTGGGGGATCTCATTACAGTCAAGGTCCCACCCAGGACCCAGCAGGGACCTGTCATGGACCAGCCAAGGCCCCATCCTGGAAACAGGGGAAAATTCAAGTGGCTACATCTGTAGCTCGCTGTGCCTGTGATTGGAAGGTTGTTCATTAAAACCCCATGGTTACATAAGAAATTTACAAATGAGAGGAGGCCATTTGGCCCATCAAGCTCGTTCGGGGAGAACATAACTAATAGCTCAGAATTGTTAAAATCTTATCTAGCTCTGATTTAAACGAACCCAGGGTTTTAGCTTGCGCTACACTAACAGGAAGACTATTCCATATTCCAAGTGCTTTCTCAAATTCATTTTAAAATGTTCTCCTGCTAATTTCTTCTTATGGCCACGAGTTCTAGTATTTAGACTAATATTGAAATAGTCATTTGGCTGAACAGCATCCAGACCCGTTAGAATCTTATATACCTGGATCATGTCCCTCCTTAGCCTCCTTTGCTCGAGGCTAAACAGATTCAGCTCAGCTAACCTCTCCTCATAAGACATTCCTCTAAGACCAGGAATCATTTTGGTAGCCCTATGCTGAACCCTTTCCAAGGCAGCAATGTCCTTTTTATAGTATGGTGACCAAACCTGCACACAATATTCTAGGTGGGGTCTTACCAAAAAACCATCACCTCCCTTGACTTAAACTCCATACACCTAGAGATATAACCTAACATCCTATTGGACTTTTTTATTGCTTCCCCACACTGGCGAGAGTGGGACATGGAAGCATCAACATACACATTGAGGTCTTTCTCATAATCAGCTACCTTTATTTCAGTCAAACCCATAAAATATCTGTACTTTATATTTCTGCTCCCTGCATGGATTACCTTACATTTATCTACGTTAAATTTCATCTGCCAGATATCAACTCAGTTGCTAATTAATTCAAGATCCCGTTGTAGCCTCTGTGCTGCTAGAGGGTTGGTAGAGTGGCGTTGCCATTGGGCCCCAGAGCAAGGCCTTTATCCAGTGATTGGCTAGCCATCAAAAGCTCTCAAAAACGCATATCACTTTAGATAAAAGTGGCTGTTAAAATAAATGAATATTCTTGGTAGGCTCTTTATTAAAACCCCACAAGTGCATTTTGAAAAGTGAGACAGGGAGCTTTACCAAGCAGTAAGGGAGGTAGATTAGCTATGTGATTCCTGCACCATCCTCACATCCGAGTATGAGAGCTGGCAGCACAGTCAGCCCCTCCCCTCTCTCAGATCAGCCTATCAAAATCCCCGAAGCCTCCTGTCACTCAGCTCCCCCAGTCACCCCCTACATCCAACACAAACAACACAAATAGCCCGAGGAAGATCACTTTCAGCTGCTCACCGATACACCACATTACCTCATTGTGTCTCCAGCTTCAGTCACCTCCTTTCCAGGCACTCCTGTGGGGGTTTGTGTGTGTATGTGTAAATGCCAGTCAGTGTGTAAAGACACTGAAGCGAAGAGTAATAAAAGACGGATAAGGAACTCCAGGACCTAAAGAACAATACTGCAAACAGTATTGGATCGATAAATGTGACATCTTTAATAAAGTCTGCTCATTAAGGATAGTCTTCATTATAAAACAAAAGATATATCATGTTGACCTTCTAAATGATCACCATAAATATATATTACAAAAAGACACTGGTTGTAAAAAGGGTTTACACAATGCCGAACAACACGGAAAACAGTATATCAAGCTGCCTACATTGTTCAATAACCTACAGCAGGGGGAGGTATAGAGCTTTATACAGTAGGTGTCGCAGAATGTAGTAAATGGACTACATGTTTTAAACAATCCTGACATCAATCCTGACACAAGAGGAGCCGAGAAGAGGCAACCATTTTCAGGAAATGACCCTGGACAGAAACTCATACATACGGCGAGAAGACACTCAGAAACATGTTATGGTACAGCACAGGCAGGACATAAGAGGCAGAATATCACTCTTGCAGGGACTGTCCATGGAAAGGTTTTTAATAAAATCTTTACAAAACACAAGGCATCTCAGCCAGGTCCCTGTAAAACGGGACTTGATCCATTCGATCTCACAACTTTCATTTTTGTGAAAGTTACAGCAAAGGCTTCACTGTGTTTTCTCAAGCACTACACCTGGACAGCATGTAAACTATGGTCATGAGCTGCAAGCCTTGGCCTTTAGTGTGAGGATGTCAGCATTTGGTCAAAATGGGGTTTGGCGGGATTATCTGTGTAAGAAACGGGTGAGTGTCATTCCAGGGATCCATACCCCTTAGTGACACCTCTGTGAAATGACAGTGACAGGAGTTAATGAGCCAGCCACCATCCCCCAGGTGACACTGTACCATGGAGGTCTGACCTGAGGTCAATGTCTGTAAACATCTTGCAGCAACACAGCTGACACATCACACATCTGGTCAGGCAGCTTGGTGGATAAATGAAATTGCGAAAATAAAAGGATTACATTTACATACAGTAAATCTACAAACACACTGAAATACCCAGTGTTAGATGCTTCCTGAAACACAGGCACAATGAGGATTGTATCCATACCCCACAGGGGCAAATATACTGAGGCGATATTCATGCAGTGGTGAGAAGAACACCCCCCACCCCCCCATCTCCACGATGTGCTTCTTCAGTCCAACTGGCGTAGTCCAGGGCGTCAAGCTTCAGTCTGGCTCGCTACATTCCTCCATGCGCCCCAACCCCCCTCCTGCCACTGGCTGGACAGGCACCAGCACGAGCGACACACAGTGCAGCTGCTGGCATCACCCTTGGCAGCGGTGCTTGTCCCATACGGCCAAATCAGGCTATTTATCTGAGTTTATCTGAAACTCAAACAGCACAATCATCTCAGTGGAAAATCTGATTTATATCAGGATTACCATCAGCCATTTTTTATCTGGTTGCTTAGAAGACAGACTTTACCAAGACAAACTGCACCTTTATATATCTATATATCCTGCAATATTTTACTAAAGTAGTTCAATGACATTTCCACCAGGAATGCAGTGACCTTAAGTACCTTTGAGACTACAACGGTTAATCTTTCTCTTGGGACCCAGAACCTTAAACCCCAGAGGACATCTAGTCAGATGCACTGTAAACTGTCCCTCCCATCCACCAGGTATCTCTACCCAACAATATAAGGGGCTCATATTAAAGGCATCTGGTATTTCCCATGAGAACCTCCCCACCCTCTGGTGACAGTATTGTCTCTCTTTTTTAACTGTATTTATTCATGTATCCCATGCTGTTATCCAGACAGTGTTTTTCATTTTCATTCATTCAGTGAAACCTGTACACTCGTATTCCTGTGACATACCAAAAGAGGCCAGAGGGGTAGCTGGGGATACAGGGTGGGGGTTAGATGTCAATGGGTACATCTTTGGAATCAGGCAAGAATAGGAAACGATCCTCTGGCACGGTTGATGGGAAGACTGTGACGTCACAATGGAGTGAGCAGTTAGTTGCCTCCGCTCCAAGATTACAGTCCATGCAAGCCCTCTGAAGGCTACACCAACAATTTCAGTTAAAATTTGGTGTTTCACTTGCTGTTAGCATAGCCACTGATAATAGGATGATGGCGATGATATTTCCATAACCAACCCCAATAGAACTTGTTCAAGTCAGAAAGTGGTTAAGAGACTAGAAAAAAACTGTTTCCCCATCTACCCCTGAAGCACCTCAGTGCCGAGGATCTACTCACAGCTCAGTGTCCTCCATCATATCGGGGTCCTCTATAGTCTCTGCACGTCGCTTGCAGGCATCCAGGATCTTCTTGCGGGGCCCGAGCGGGATGTGGATGCTCTTGAGGTCATGGTCAGAGCAGAGCAGTAGTGCCTCCAGGTCGATCTTTTCCCTACGGAACACTGGGATAAACTCATTCATGGTCAGGGAGGCCAAGAAGACCTCCAAGGGTGTGGTCTCTGGCTCATCGTCATCCAGGCCAAGCTCCATCTCTTCCCAGGGTAGCTCCTGCAGGTTGCGCTCCTGCAGGCTGCCGGCGCTGCCGATGCTGTCGTCCAGGCTTGGTGAGCGGAGCAGTCGGCTGCGCAGGTGTACATCAGCTGCCCGTCGCGCCACACTGCCCTCATCCCGGGAGCCAATGTCGAACAGGCCGCTGCTCACATAATTCCGTCGAAAAACCATGGTTCCCAGGCCGGGCCGGTTGAAGAGTGAGTCACGACCAGAATCTGCACTGACCTCCGAGTAGGCGGCATCCACAGCATGAAGGCCTGGCTCGCTGATGGCACGGGAGATGGCATCGTCATTGCTAGGGAACATGTCGCGGACGTTGCGCCGCAAGCGGTCTTTGGGGCCAGCATAGGTGCCCTGCTTCACAAACATGACATCGTTTCCCAGCTGCAGACCCGATAACGAGCGCACACTCTTGCGTCCATCTTCGTAGATCTTGAAGGTTCCATCCCCCTGTTTCTTCTTCTGCAGCTTCTTCTGGATCTTAGTTTTGCCTCTGGCCGTAGCATGGAGGGTGGCCTGTGGACAGAGTGCAAAGTCAACATGCTGTTATTTCAGAGATTGTTGTGCCTAGTAAATATTGTGACCCAAATTGATCTACGTAGCGTGAAATTTGAATCCATACATCTAAGCATCTAATGCTGTGACTTGGGGTCTAGTTTAAAGGCTGGGGGTTCAGCCTTCACATACCTGGGAGTATGGCACACTGTTGGCAGAGGTGCCCAGCTGCTGTAGTTTGCGGCTCAGAGTGCTGCTGGCATAGCTGGAGAAACTCATGGCATCCGAGATGGAGGCCTCTGACTCGCCCTTGAGGAACTTGCGCTCCATGCGCCGGTGGTGTTTCCTCTGGATCTTCACGCACTCCTTGATGCGGCGCTCGGCCTCGCGGAAGGCACGATCTTTCAGCTTGCTCACCAACTTGGGGTTGAGTGCCGTCTGCTTGGCAGCGATGGAATCTAAGTAGCGCACGCAGTCCATGTGGCTCTTCATGGCCGCCATGTCCAAAGGCGTGTGGTAGTCATTGTCCAAGCACCACACATTGGCACCGAATGACACCAGGAAGGAGAGGCAGTTGAGGTGCCCATTGGCTGCAGCCAGGTGGAGTGGGGTATTCCCCCAGATGTCGCACTTGTCCGGGTCACCCCTGCAGGAGGAGTAGAGGGGGCAGGAGTACCATGTAAAGACCACAGGAATGAGCTACGTGGGAGATGGGGGAAGAGAACATCTGTATCTCCCAAAATCACTTGCATGAGCAGCATATAAACACTAATGTTTTCCATGGGTTTCTCCCGTATTACAAGGCCGTCTCCCAGCGCCCTCCCATTTTTCCATGGGTTTCTCCCGTATCACAAGGCCGTCTCCCAGCACCCTCCCATTTTTCCTGGGTTTCTCCCATATCACAAGACCGTCTCCCAGCTCCCTCCCATTTTTCCTGGGTTTCTCCCGTATCACAAGGCCGTCTACCAGCTCCCTTCCATTTTTCTCTGGTTTCTCCTGTATCACAAGGCCGTCTCCCAGCTACCTCTCGCCTTCTTGTTTCTCCCCAGAAACTCCAATAATTTGCATAGCCCTCAAAGTTTTATTTTGAATAATCATCATACACAGATCCATAACTTGTGTATGTCTGTCTGATGTTACTGTATAAAACACCTTCTAGACACATAACCCACACACTTTATATAATTTCAACCCATCACCGTAACCTGGCAACCCACAACCCGATTCAAGGGGTGTACACAGCTGCTCTCTGCACAGGCCGGCAGGCCAGATGAATACTGACTGAACTAGCTAGCTAACTTAGCAGGTGTCAAAATGTCAGGACATGACAGTACAGCGTTCCATCGAAAATACCAAATACACCTAAACTGATCTTAATATTTTGTCATTACATAAATAGGAACTGTTTATTTATTTGTTTGTTTGCTTGTCCTCCCCCAGCCAAAAAAAGTCCTGTATTTTGAAATCCAATGTTGGCAGCCAGTGGCCTTTCACCATTTCATGCCCTGATTACTCTCACAAAGCCACTGGCAGAGGGCATGAGTAGTTTCCTACATCTTTTTCCAAGTAGTTAATAACAAGATTAAGGAACATCCTCATTATCTGCAAGGCTATACAAAAAGAATAAAGATCTCATAATCATGCACACACTTATAATGATTCAAATTATGAGAGTTGTATCCAATCTCAGATAAGATCAATGGTGTTTTACCACTGTCCAGGAGAGGGCGATGTTAGTAACTGTCATGCAAAGCGAGTGATAAGTGGCTAAGGAAATGCACAAGTAATAAATAGATATCTTAAGCTGCTCTACTGCTACACCAGCTTTACATTACCTGAGTAAACTACTGGCAGTTAGTTTAAAATTAAACACACACATGAGCAAAAAAAATTGCTATATTTTGCAATCAGAATGAAAAGAACACATCATAAAGTAAACATCTCTGTTTCACAAAGGGAGACGACAGAGGGAAATTACCCAGACAACTGAGGAAACGATCACATTAGCCAGGCCCATAACATGCAGAGCTCCGCAGAGGCCACACCTATTATCTTTCACAATGTTCTTACTACAGTCTGATTAGATGTTGCTCAGTGAGGAATGTATAATTTATCTCTCAGACTCCTTAAGGCACAGAAAAAAAGAGTAATATGGGTATGACACACAGGCATCAAGATCCCCCCTACCTGCCCAAACTAACAGTGCCATATTCACAGGTCACCAGGAGGCCTCTGTGTATCACCTTTCAGGGTACCCCGACAGAATGTCACATGACCCCAGAAGTGGCGGTGGTCACGTGTGGGATGGCAGCATGACAGGGCTGCAGCTCCCCCCGCTCACTGATCACGTTCATATACAGCCTGTTAAACGTGACACTCTTACGATGGCTTTACAGCTGTAGACCTCATATATTTAGTCAGCATCAAAGATCAATTATATTTTCACCCACATAGCTTTATCAGTAAGTATAATAATAAAGTTATTATAATAACATTACGACTAACAAATACTGATAACAATGGATTCCGATAAACCTTTATCCTATCCAGAGTGGCCACTGTCTCATGCCCGTGCTTCCTGGAACAGGCTCCAACCTCACAGTGAACCCGTACTGAATAATGCTTAAAATGAGCTTTTTGTAATTTTGACAGACACAGACACAGACCACAGGTGTTTTACTGCCTCATCATCTGAATTGCTCTATAAATCTCCCCCGCTCACCTACTTCACCCACTACACATAAACAAGATGCAGTTTAGGCCACCTGCACCCCTCAGCTGGGGCTAAATGTGTTTGGGGTGTCTTCAAAAGGAAGCACGTTTAAGGGACATCGCGGGGTGACATGCAGCTGCGGAGCAGCTGGGTGGTGCCCCTGCCTGGCCTGGCAGAAGGCTGAGAGCGCGAGCATGAACATTTCACGGGCTTGCTGTGAAGCAGAGCTGCGTATTACCAGAAATGGGTTGGGTTAACCCTGTGTGAAATTCACCAGGCAGTGAAAATATTGATAAAAAATGAAGGACAGGTTTTTCTCCGCCCGTGCCCCCATACCCTGTAAGGCCATCCCTAACAAGTAGGGGTGTATCGATTCTCCAAATCCACGACTGGGTTCAGACCATGATTCTTGAACCACAGTTCAGTTCATACCTCAGTGTTTTGTTTTTTTTTTTGGGGGGGGGGGTCAATAAGAAAAAACAGGGAGTTTTTTTTTGTTTTATTAATCACAAACAATCTGGAACACTAAAGGGGGTTATTACCCATCTTGAGATAATGAAACTAGCCTAGCTTGTACTGCATGCATGATCACTCAGTCATGTTTGGAATAACGCAGTTGGGAAACAATAAAATAGGTGCAATGTGTAATATTTACCAAATGTACAGCTGGCCCTAATTTTAAACAGAATCGTGATTTACGTACGCTGTAGTGTAAATTGTGAAATGAAAAATTAGTTGTGTAACAATAATGTAATGACAACTGAACAGGCTGCAGCAGTGGCAGTGACATGACATCACTTCCTTATGATCCTAGTGGTGCCAAATGAGACCCCCATTCTACCCCCCCCAATTATCATACTCTGCTAGCAATGTCTGTATTCATTTATATTTGATTTATTCAACATATGTTTTTGTGAAAGCAGAGTCAGACAGTGAGGTTAAGGGGTTTGCTCAGGGCTCAATGGTGAAATGACTCTGCCGACTATAGAATCTGATGTGAAGACCTTCCCGATCGTGGGCACCATGCTCTAACCTGCCAAGCCACATTCCACCCCTCATTAACCCAATAATCAACACTGGGGCATCTTTTGTTCTTTTCCTTTTAAGCCTCACAAAAGATGAAACCCCACAAAACACAAAGTGAACAGATACCTAATAAAAGGGTAACACTTTACTCGAAGGGGAACAAAACTTATTAGTAACTTAGTTTCTACTGAAATATAAATCATGAATCATAGTCGCTACTTGAGATAAAAAATGGGTCACGATTCACGATTCATTAATAATGAACAAACATGAGATAACATTTGTGTTATTCATTACTTGTTCCTTCAATAGTTCCTTCAGTAGTTCGCAAAGTTTACAGAATTAACAAATATAGTAACATATAGTAACTGCTTGAGAAAAAAGATGTGTGCGTCACAATTTATTAATAATGAACAAACATAAGGTCAGTATGTACTGTAACTAAGACTTACTCAATTGGTGATATTTTACCCATGTGGCAGAAATAATATTGTATTATAGTCTTACTTATGTATTAATTAACCACAAACTAACATTTTTTGCCTTGTTGTAATCATTTCACATTGAATTGTGGCATTATTGCAGTTCCTGCTTCATTGCAGCTTAAATAAACAATCTTTCAAAAGCGATAACTCTATCTCTTTGCAAATATCATTCATAGGCGTACACTTCCTTATACAGCACATTCAGGTTTTGCTCTGTGTGGATTTATTCCCTGAGGTGTCTGTTTCAGCTCACTTCCCTTTGCCAAATGTCAAAAGGGTGCAATAAATATGGGAGAGCGAGGGCATGATCGATATGGAGGCAGTGGAAGGGGGCCTCACATTGCCCCCACATCTTTCACAGTGACCTTTCAACCTCCTGTCTGTCATTCCTCAAATTACAATCGCTTAATTGCCTCTCGCCCTATTGCTCCACCAATAAACCTGTCAGCCAGGCCATCCCATCATTGTGGCTAGTCTCATCGTCGAGGGCAACGGTGGCCATTAACGTTATTATACCATACCACGAAATGAGACTGCTCCCCACCTTTCCAAATGGGGTGTGTAGAATTCGGGGGCATCTTGGGGCAGGGAGGAGGCTTTGTTTCTGGTTAAGCTTACATTAGACGGGAAGGCAGGGTGACCCCTGATGACCGTGACAGGTCCAACTGGACTTAGAATGAGAGATCAGAAAACATCTGAAATATGCTAAAAAACACACCAGCATGCAACCGAGCACAGTGACCTCATCTCACCAGGCTGCAGTGTTCCTGGGCAGTGACTAGGAGCTTAAAATCCAAAACTCACCTGTTCCAACTCTACACGGGTTAAAATCCGCATCCTTCGCCCCAGTGCTTGGCTGACGGCAAATCTGAAATTGAGGTCAGTGGGTTGCACTGAGAGGCAGCCTATTGTGTCAGACTGTTTCCCTGCTAATAAAGGGGTGATTTTGTCCCTTATAAAATGGCTCTTACATAAAGCAAACACCATGCTGTTTTGCCAGAACAAAGGACACACACAATGAGGCAAAAACCACCTCATTAGAAGCAGGAATCCAATCAGGGTCCTGTCAATTAAAATCAACAGCTGAATACTAGACCCCGACAGACTATTAGTTAGGGACGTTTGAGGAACATGCTGTGTTCCTCACAATGGACCAGATATAAATAAAAATATAAATGTAAATATAAATATATTGCTTTACCCGACAAATCTGACAAGGACTAGAATAAGAAAGGAGGTTGATGATAAGAAGGCCTATGATGTCATCTACTTAGATTTCCAAAAGGCTTTTGATATTGTCCCCCACAAGAGGCTCTTACTTAAACTCAAAGCGACAAGTATTTTAGGAACTGTAGCGACCTGGATTAATAACTGGTTAACAGATAGGAAGCAGCGAGTAGTATAAGAGGCACAATGTCA